CCCCCAAATCATCGGTGAACGAAACTGCGGCAGCTACAACCACAGTACGACGAGTACGCGGTTATTACAGCTGACAATGATGATGATGATGATGAATTGACAGCATGCATGGTATTGTGCTGGCACGCGTTTACATTCGCTTTCCCTCCAAAAAAATTCTGATAATGCAGACGAACTCAGTCTCTCGCAAGACATCATGATGATGATGATGATGAATTGACTGTGAGCATGGTATTGTGCTGGCACGCGTTTACATTCGCTTTCCCTCCAAAAAAATTCTGATAATGCAGACGAACTCAGTCTCTCATGTGCAAGACATCTAGCTCAACAGTGTCAAATTAATTTGGCTGAGTGGCTCCAAGAACTCGAGAGAACACTGGTTATCTAGATGAAACAAATCAGTCAGCTGTAGTGCCATTAGGGTGCCTAGCTGCCATTCCAATGGAAGGAGGCATAAAGGCTGGGATACTGCCAAGTTTCCCAAGCCTAGGCAGGAGCAGTTGGGATGCTGAGGTTGGGTTCGAAACATGGACCTTCCGGTCCTGAAGCTGGCTCCTTAACCACTGAGCTATCTCGAGCTCAGGTAGCGTTTGGAGAAAGGTGGAAGAGACCATGACTACATGGTACTGTCTGCCCCGGGGGCGTTCGCACATCCTAACGACCACTGAATTTCGTCACGATCGGCGGCTCTGACTGGAATTAGTAAGATCATACCAGCATCAAATGACTACAATGGTGTGCGCAGGTCTCTCAAACGCCGAGTATTGAAGAGTCCGAATATTGACAGTCCTGGTGGATGGTGAAAGCCCGAGAAATGTAGAGAGATTTTGTATTGGGAGAGAATCGCGCCCTGGTCCGAGGAGAGTGGGTATAAGATCCCGGTTATCTGGCCTCTTACAGGATGGTTGAAGCTATCGAGCTACACGCAGTTCGTATTCATTAGGCAGTAGGAACGGGCGGATGAAGGCAGTAGGTGCTGTATTGAGAACTGGGTTCCATGAACAAATGTGTCAATAAATACCATGAGTTAAGCAGAAGTCGCAGATAGCAACAGAGCACTTGGTAGGAGCAGAAAATGGTACAGTGAGCCAGCAGTGCCTTCTGGAAGTAATAACGAGTAAGCACCAAATGATGCACAAACGTATGGATACGGGCAGTCAGACTGTGTAAATAGGCCGCGTGCATAGATAGGGAGGCAGAAAACAGTCAGTCCGCACGGGAGGTAACGGAAACTATATGGAAAACTGGTATCGGGTGAATTTGACAGAGTAAGTATACCTGCAGCCTTTATCTCATAAAGATAAAAGCGTTCAGCTGTAGCACCCTTCCGGTGCCTAGCTGCCATGTCACCCGAAGGGAGCACGAGGGCTGGGATACTGCCAGGTTGCCCAAGCCTAGACAGGGGAAGTCGAGTGGCCGAGGTCGGATTCGAACCGCGGACCTTCAGGTTGGTAAATCAGCGCTCTAAGCACTTCGGCCATCTCGCCTTTATCTGACTGCGTGAGGAATCGGCACATGCCACGTGCCAAGTCGGAATGCGCACTTAGGCTTGTTTAAAGCAGAATATATATATATATATATATATATA